CAAAGTAATCGCAGCATGTGGCCGCCACACCTGTTTGAATCAGCTGAGAAGTGGAGTGATTCACTGACGCTTCGACCACTTCGGTCTATTGATCACTCTAAATAGAAGTCAAGGGGACTTTCAAACGGCCTTCCTCTTTGGTTTCCTTTTGTAATGCGACCTCGACCGAGTTTTGTTTGAAAGTGTATGCAGACCGTTTTTTTTGAAACTGAACAAATGTAACGCAATCCATCTTTCGACACGACCACCAGTGTCGTCTATGGCACTATCTTCTCACTCGCACCCGGCTGACGCCTGCAGTCATTTTTAGATGATTCTGTGGCGGCCAATCACCATGAGCGGTCTGGCGTCATTGCTCAAGAACTCGCTGCCTCAAGGTCATTCACCCCTTGCAGCGAGTCCTCCCAGACGAGCTGACCTGAAGCCACTCGACCGACTTCAGCTCGTACACAATTGCGTCCACACAGTGTCGCGGCTGCCCATGCGCCACTTGAAGGCGCCACAACCTGCAACCAACAAAACAAACCACTGGGACACCATCCCTCAGCAAATGCAACACATACAGACTGGCCACCACTTAAATTTGGCCCACGAGCCTACAAAAGCGGCTGCCACCACTATCTCAGGGACTCTCAGGCCTGACTGGATGCAGTCAACACCAGCCCTGGCTTCGCCAGTGGCCACTGCCGCCTGAGAGGACACCTGCGGGTCCTGTGCACAATAAACCCCCTTATTCTGGTGCCTTCCGTCATCTCCCTACAACTTGAGATCTGACCCGACGATGGTAACGCACAGACAGGGCCACAAACACACCGCGACTGACACTCTCCGTGAACGGACGCTTGTCTCTGTCGCAAGCAAACAGCCAACTTACGGCAACCTGCCGTGTGTACAGAATAAACTAGTCCTCACAACTCCCTGACTTCTGACATTAGACGAAACGAACTTAGTGTACGTGGTTTAAGTTGATCTCACATCCTTGACCGCTACAATTCCTTGCTACCGTGCTCCCTCAGCCCCTACGCTGTGAATGAAGGCCAGTCCCATTGGACGCATTCCTGTGGAATTGTCCAGTTTTGGTTGTCATGAATGGCGCAGTTTGCAACCGTGCGATCACGAAAGCTACTACAGAACCGAAACAGGTTGGGGATGCAGAGGAAAAGTGAAAAAAAAACTCGAAGAAAAGTAGAAGGCAGCCAATTGGGGAGGACTGGCCTATGTGGACGCCTAAACAGGACATGAGAACAGGATCCTCTTGCAACGCGAGTGACTTTGAGGTTAGCTCTAAGTTAAGGGTTAGAAAAAAGTCAGGAATTAGGTTTAAAGTTAAATTTAAAGTTACCGGTAAGGTAAGTCAGGATCAAGTTTAGAGTTAGGGTAGAGGCTAGTGCTAACCGCAGAGTTGAGATTCAGGATAGGATTGGGGTCGAGATTAGGGAGACGGCTTACTTTAATATTAGGGCTATTGTCGGGGTTAGGCCACGGGAATATTTTGTCCTTTCCAGAGTTATACGCAGGTCCACCTTTATTACTTGGCCTGAACGTACGTCTACATACTTATACCTACATATACATGAAGAACTCCTGAAATGTTGGATTCAGACCACTGCACACCCGAAACCTCTCTCGACACTGATCGGGCATGCGGAACCCGGTAGGACTGACTTGTATGGCCCCCTAATCAGGACATGAGAACCGAAACCGTCTGCAATGCGGGTGGACTTTAACCAACCTCCAATAGAACCACAATTAGGTTTAAGGCTAGATTTAAAGTAAAATCAAGTCAGGATCGTGTTTAGGGTTAAAGTCGGGGCTACTGTTGACTTCAGAG